TACTGGGATTTTCACACACAACCATATCAATATGGGCCAACATTTCTAAAGAATGCTTTCAGCACCTTGTTGAATCAATGCCACGTAGAATTAACCCTTAGTCACTGTTTAAAAAGGACGACGCTTAAGTGGTTTGGGGTCGTATTGACCCCAAACTTTTAAAGAGTGATTGCATAAGGAAATATAAATTTTTTATATGGAAAACTATATATAATTTTTTTAATTCACTTCTCAACTATACAATAATGCTGTGTTTTTTGGGAAATTTTTAGGTTTTCTACATATTTACTGCACAATTACATAACTAGGCCATAAATTGGCACATGAAAAATGATTTTTTAAAGAAAAAATCACTTAAATGATGATGATAATTAAATCTTAAATAGTTTTTGGACATTGCTCTATGTGTTAGGGATAAAATACTACCATCTGGTGGTTAGTCGAAAAACTGTTTTTCTTACAGTTAAGGAATTATTGCGCAATGACCACATCTGTCCAATAGAGGTCCATAGAGACTCATTCATTTTCCCTTCATTTGTCTTGATGCTTCAAATTCTCCTAACAACTTGATATATATGATAAAAATATTTTATGCAATTCACAAAATATATATGTCAAATTTAGAGTTTGTTGTTGTTGTCTGATATATTTTGAATTATTGTTTTTGCAAATTATTATACATACATTTGCATAAACATTACAAGTCAGCACTATGACATGATTGTAATCACACACTATTTATTTCAGAAAATTATTTATCAAGAATTATTTATTTTTTTAGAACAAGAGATTTTAGAACAAAATAAATTAAATAAACCAAGTAAATAAACCAATATAATACAAAACAACAGCACCAATAAACTGTAATGAACAGGATGCATACATTTGCATACATGTGTGTGTTTGTGTGTGTGTGGCTGTGTGTGTGTGTGAGATAGAAAGCTCGTTCCACTTTGTGTTTATGCTCTAGGACCAGACCTTGATTTAAATATATATTTTTTTAGATTTATGCCAGTTTTGTTTATTTTATTTGCCAATATCTGTAACAATGCTCTCGGTTGCAGTCACATACATGTGTGTGTTTGTGTGTGTTTGTGTGTGTGTGTGTATGAGATAGAAAGTTCGTTCCACTTTGTGTTTATGCTCTAGGACCAGACCTTGATTTAGATGTCTTTTTTTTTTTTAATTTATGCCAGTTTTGTTTATTTTATTTGCCAATTTCTGTAAAAATGCTCTCTGTTGCAGTCAGGACATGTGTGTGTTTGTGTGTGTGTGTCTGTGTGTGTATGAGATAAAAAGTTTGTTCTACTTTCTATTTATGCTCTAGGACCAGACCTTGGTTTATATGTAGAACATTTCAGATTTATAATGGATTTACTTTTATTTTTTTGACAAACAAAATAAAAAAAGTCATTTTTTTCATTTTCCCATTCATTTTCAATTGGGGTCATTTTGACCCCAAACCCCTTAAATGGTAAAAAAAAATTTACACACCTTTAGAACAACCGAATCGAACCCAGTTTTTTTGTGCATATTTAGATAGATTATGTAGGAAAAGTCACAGAGTTTTATGGCCCTGAGATGAAGGGAACATTTTTAAAAAATCAAGGAAAAGTCCAGTGGGGTCATAATGACCCCAAACAGTGACTATGGGTTAAGGCAGTTCTGAAGGCGAAAGGGGGTCAAACACAGTATCAGTATGGTGTTCCTAATAATCCTTTAGGTGAGTGTATATATATATATATCCAGTCTATTGTTCAAAGGTTAGGGGTCAATAAGATTTTTTTAAGCATTTAATACATGGCTTACTATTCAGCAACGATGCACTAAATTGATCAAAAGTGATGGTAAAGACATGTATAATGTGGGTCATAATGTTTTGGCTCATCAGTGTATATTGAAATAGAAAATAATATTAACAATATTATTGTTTTTACTGTATTTTGCTTAAATATAATGATCAAATAAAGGCAGCTTTAAGAGTCTTAAGTGAACATAAGAGACCAGAATTTTTGGAACGGTATATTGTGTGTGTATAAATAGGCACATTATGTTATATACAAATTATATTTAAACATTAATTGTCATGTATTGTATTATTTTTTGCCAGTGTTTGAGGATATCATCAATGCAATCGCCAGTATTGCTGGTAAGTTGGACAATTTTATGAAAATGTAACCTGAATTCGCTGAATTCATTAAATTAATTTACTATTAGTTTAACACATTGTATAAGTACAGTATTATTATTGTATTGTGTTTCACGACAGGATCCTCTGCCTCTGAGTTGGTTCTTCAGTGCACACCAGAGGGTATCAGACTGCAATGCTACATGAAGTACTACACAGAGGAGATGAAAACCAGCTGGTTTCATAGGTACGTCCACATGAAAAGAGACCATCCATCTGTTCAGAACTTCAGACTCAGAATATACTCATCAAATGATATTCATGACAATGTTTTGTTCGGTGGGTTATCGCCAATTGAAGAGATTTTCTTTTGATGTTTTGGCTTTAGAGACAGTAAGATCTCCTCCTCAGAGAAGATGAGAATTGGAGGCACATCTGAGATGGCCTGGATGCAGATCTGTGAGCCCACAGATAAGGAAAAGGGTCATTATGCCATTGAGATTCATGATGGGGAAAAACCACACTCTCGTACCTTTGACCTTTCTGGACAAGGCAAGTGGAGACTGAACTGCTGAATGCTATAGGCTCAGAATTGACATAAAAAATGCAATTCATACATACTAATACTTGAATACAAATTTATTTTCTATGATTGGGGCATAAAGTCCGGGTAAAAATGACGGTAATAAAACTGTTCTGATATGATATATATAATTGTAAGAAAAACCTTTTGTACCACTTTTTATTCCATATCAGAACAGTTTGATACAGTTTTGTATCCAAAAAAGTTTTTATAAGCCATGTTAAAACTATATTGGCACAATATATTAAAATGTGTTTTAAACTATATTTATAAACTTTTTTTTTTTCTTTATCATGGAAACAATTATTTGTCATGGATTCTGCAACGTGTTACTTATTGTGTTTTCTTCCATTCTAACAGCATACACTGATGCCTATGCGGAATTCCAAAGACTTAAGTAAGATAAACGACATTGCTTCAATTCATTCTCTTTACAGACTCCTATTTTTTCCTATTGATGTTTTACTCTGATATTTTCTCCTCTTCTTTCATCAGAGCTGCTGCTTTCGCTGAGAAGAGTGAGTATTTCTGAGAACCTGTCAAATGGAACATTAATAAGGGTCTAATCTGGTATTCATGCATACTTGAACTCAGGCAGTATAATGGAGCATAAAGCTTTGTGCAATGAAAATAATCTCATTAAATTAGCTTAGGTATTTGTTCAGATGTCAGAACTATGACCAACATTTCCATACAAGTGGAAGTAACCTATTTATTATTAAATAGACATTATTCCCAAAAAAGTTGGAAATAGTGTCCAAATGTGTTAAATGAACTATTTGCCCTCTGTAGACCGTGGTCGAGTGGTAGGTGGCCTGCCAGATGTTGTCACCATTATGGAGAAGAAGGTAGTATTTCCTTTACTTTTCCCATGTTCACTAGAACTACACTTGATATTTCTTTTTAACACATACACAAGTTAACTGTGTTTTCATAAAGTGTTCATATTTTATGGACTAATTCGCAGTACATGTGCACATAATTTGTGACCTCTCACCTCTGCAGAGCTTGAGTCTCACTTGCACAGTGTGGGGTGACCCCAGCCCAGAGGTCACCTGGTTTAAGAATGAGCAGGAAGTTCTGTCTGACGACCGCTACAAGATCACCTTCGAGGGCGGCAAGTTTTCCAGCCTCACAATCAAGAGTGTTTACGTGGAAGATTCTGGAAAGTACAGCATCAATGTGCGGAACAAGTACGGCGGTGAATTTGTGGAGATCACAGTAAGCGTCTACAAACAAGGCGAAGAGATCCCTGAGCCCAAACTGGGACAGATGTCCAGGCCAGCCGCCACCCCCAAGCCAGCTACACCCGCTCCACAGTCCGTGAAGACCCCGACTCCTCAAACTCCTACGCCCTCCATAAAGTCCCCCACCCCTACTCCACCTCCCTCCGTGAAGTCTCCCACTCCAACTCCAGCTCCTAAATCCCCCACCCCACCAAGGTCCATGAGATCCCCCACCCCGCCAAGATCCATGCGATCTCCCACCCCTACTAAGAAGTAACTAGTAAACTATGGCTTATAGAACCTGAAGATACGTGAAGATAGATAAAGTTAATTTATAGTGTTTCAATTCAAATCAGCCGAAGATGATCGGTTTTAGTTTGCTGCAGAAGTCTACAAATCAGGATCTGTAACTGGTACAATTGCGAGATTAAAGATACTTGTAATAAAATATCTGAGGGAAGAGTCCTTTAAGATCAGCTTCAGACTCCAATGTACCAGTTCATCTCTGAAATTGAGACAAAAAAAATAGGAGGATTGTGTTTTATGTGTTGCTTTCGCAGCCAAAAGCTAATGAAGGTTAAATAAAGTGCTGTTGGGCCAGTCAAAAATCATCACCAAGGCCACCGCTGTCTTATCTGTCTTTATTCTGTACCCTCCAAATGCTTTTTGGTGCCAATAAAAATCAGCCGTCTCCTCTCTGGAGTGGATCTTCAGTAGTCTGAGTTGAATTTTGTCTCTGTTTATTTCCCAAAAGGACATTATTAATTTGATTAAGTTTCACATAATATAGGCAGTCTGTGAATTAGTGTTTGAATAGTTAACCTCAGGATTACAATCAAGGTAATATTCAGCTGTGTGTGCTAACCAGACTAGACGCATTATACCAGGGGTGGCCAGTTCTGCTCCTGGAGGGCCAAGGCTGCAAACGAAACATTAGGCAGCTGACAGGTCCAAACTCAACAGATTTGGAAAGTTTAAACTTTAAGTAGGTTGTCTAAAAACAAGTCACTATTACTTCTGAAGTTTAAAGTTGAGACTATTCAGACACATTTACACTAAATAAAATCAGTCAGACAGTGTGCAGCAGAGACCAGTCAGTTGTATGATTTTATTTTCAAGAAAGGTATTATCAGATGGTGATTAAATGTATTTTGTTTGTTTGAAATCCACAAAATTTACCAAATTCAAAAGTTAAATAAAATACTCAAGTCCCTTGTTCTTGTCGGCATCCTGCTCTTGGGTCTCAATCTCTACACGCTTCATGGCAATAAAAAACTGCACGAAAGGCTCTCCCAATGCACCACGAATCACACTGTCCTCTGACAGAGCCTCTAAAGCATCATCCAGTTTAACAGGGATGGGGAACTTTTTCTGCTGAACTGGAGCTCTGCTTAGAACCTGTTCGGCATTGAGATTACGCCTAATACCGTCCAGTCCTGCTGCTATCGTGGCCGCCAACACGATGTAAGGGTTGGCCATTGCCGAACCCAGCTTGTTATCGATGTGCATCTCCCGTCCACCATGAACCTTCACGTTAAAGGCACAGCTGTTGTCGTTGCAGCCGCATGTGGCGTAAAGATGGTTCTTGGAATCTTTCTTGCCATTGGAAAGCTGGTTTCGACAGCTGATCCCTGGAGCCAAGAGGCAGCTCAGAGCGGCTGAGTGCTGGAGAAGACCTGAGAGCCACTTCCTGCCGATCTCCGAAAGTTCCCCGTTGCCTGAGTGGAAGAGGCTTCTTCTGCCACTGGTATCCCAAAGGCTATGGGATAGTAATCCTGAATTGTGGATATTTTCATCCGTGAAAAAAGTGGCGATATAGTCAAACTTCCTGGCCATCTCTTTGATTCCCGTTCGGAAGGTGAAAGCGCTGTCGGCGGCATCGATTCCAAACCTGGATTTGAAGCAAATCTCCATCTGTCCTGGTCCATTTGCAGATGAGAAGCTCTCAACATCAACTCCCATGTAGTACATCCCCCTGACTAACTGCTGAAGGAAGGGTAGATCGTAGTTGCTCAACAGTGTGGTGGCAGGGAAGAACACAGCTTTGGGTCCCACTCGTTCAGGGGCTCCGAAGATACAGCACTCATACGTGAAAGATGAGTGGAGAGAGAATCCCATGCTCTGGAGCTGGCCGAGCATCTGCTTGGCTATGAGGCGGGGTGATGTTCGCAGTGGTACTCCTGTGATTGTGCAGGGGTCACAGATAAGACGAGCGGTCTGGTCCGCCCAGGGGAGGATTTGGAATGTGGAGAGGTCTGGGACCAGGAGGACATCACTGCTGAAGTTGGCTGTGCTCTGATGATCAACTTCATTGACTTTGGGACTTAGGGTTAACTCCAGGTAGCTTCTCGGCATAGGGATGCCATATACAGCTTTTTCCTGTGGTGTCAATAATGATTAATGTTTAGTATTGATTCAGCATTTTCAAAAAGCCTATAATTATTACAAAGGTATACTAAACAGTCACACTTAATACTAACATTAAAGCTGCTGTAAGCAAAGTTAGCCATCTTGCTGAGCCATCAACCTCACACCCTCTCCTCTCCAAAACCCTGCACTCTAATGACATGTCAGCAAACCAAATCTCAGTAAACCCAAATGTGCAAATTGATAGATGACAGAGAGGTGCCTCCTAGTTTTCTTATTGGCTAGCATGTGAGGGGCGTGTTCAATTTATTTATTTATTTTGCTTTTTACGGAGGATATGGCTGTCATAGAAACTTCTGTTATTTCTCATGACACTTATTTCATTGATATCAGTAGCTATTTTACATTTTGTCGAATTGGTGACTAAGTCACATGATCTGACAGTTTGGGGGTTTAAAAGTGGGGTTAGGGATCAACCTAAAAAATACTTTTTTTCGTATTAATCACATCTTACAAATTCATATGAAATTGACACTTTGTAAAACACCAACCCGATCTCAAGGCAATTTGTACGTATTTGCTACGAGGTGGCTAATTTGTACGAATTCATATGACCTCACTTGTACGATTTGTGCTAAATCGTACATATTTTACGAGTTGCCCAGTTCGTACGAATTACCTACCCCTGACTCCGCCCCTAAACCTACCCATCACTGGGGTTTAGACAAATTATACAAATTCGTACGAGTGAGGTCGTGAGATAGCTTTGAAATTATTTACATTTTCTCATGAGATTGTTGACTAAACCAGTACAAAAATATGCCAGTGTACCATTATGACAAAATACACTTATATTCAAGATATAATGTATGAAAATTCTTGATCCCTTATACAGAGTTAATGTTTTACAGAAAAAAGTAAACAATAGAACAAAAACAGCAGCTTAAGATTGTACCATCATATACCAACACACTTTCTACAGTACAGAATCAATAAGAGGCATTTAAAAGATTTACGTGAAAGAATCGAGCCGGAACGGTCTTGGATCGGGCTACGCCATGAAGATCGGTGGCCTCAAAGCGAACAAAGCTGATGTTTTCCCGGGCAATTTGCTGTTTTATTTTCTCAACGTCAGAAATGAAGCTTTGAGATGCAAAAGCGTGTGCCTGTGAGCTTTCTTTGTCTGTTGGAAATATGAAATGATTGACAGAGGGGTGAAAGATGAGAAAGTTCAAATAAATTAGTTAAAATCAGACAACCATAAATATTCTCAGAGAAGAAGATGACCCAAAGGCGCATACTGACCTGAATGTGATGTGCCAGCTTCACCCCAGTGGGATGTCTCAACAGTGGGGGATTTCACACCAGAGGACCTGCCTGGAGGACCATCAGTACTTGAAGACCCGCCTGAATCCAAATTAGAGCTTAGTCTGGATGCTCTCCTAGCTTCTGAAATTGGCTTGAACGTGCTGAAACTCTTAAAAGGCACTTGGTCTGGCTTACAGTCCACTCTTTGACCAGGAGGGTAGCTCCTTCTTTCATCTTGCCCTTTTGCACTCAGTAGGGAGCTCTCGCGCAACACACTTTTCAGTTCATCCATTGTTTGTTTGGGGGCGCCACCCTCACTAGTTGGCATGTAATATTGCACGTTCTCCCTTCTCCATCCATGCCTGTTGGCGTAGTCGTCCTCTCTCTCGAAACCCTTGTACTGGGACTCACTGGAGACAGAGGGGCAACGTTGTGGAGGCCCAATGGAAATAAGGATGGCGTCATTTGTGGGGCCTGGAATTGGTACGTTTGATGGCACTATGGGTACAGATGTCCCTTTTCTGTCCCAGTTAGAGGAGGATAGATGCTTCTCTCTTAGATCTGCACCCTTCTTTCCTGCACTCATACTTCCTCCATCCACTTGGTCTGGAATGTTCTCCTGAAGATGAAATTTATGGCATTCAGACAGAATATAACTCACAATACAGTAACACATAATCATATACCAAATTTCCAAAGTATGATATCCATACATTTTTACTCAACTGTACATTTGACAAAAATATTTAAGTAAAAAACAAAACAATAACTGCAAAGATTTGAAGTTGTACCGTATCTTTGGATTCCTCTGATTCTTGCATTATGATCGTTTTTTATGTGAATGTGTGGAAAGTCTTAACCATCTCCCAATCGAAGTGGCTCATACAACTGACTAACAGAGACTGAAACAAACCAATCTGCTCCCTTTCTCCCCAACCAGATGAACCGTCCAGTCTGTTCAGTCCCACTCATCTATTGTGAGCTTCTGCACATCAGCTGTTTTCAACAGCCCACAACACATCATTCATCAAATCTCTAGAAAGATGCAGTTGTTTGACTAAAGGTTATTTAACAGAATGCCAAAGCCATTGATTATAATGTGAACATAACTGAACACATGTCTTTGCACTGTTGTTGCCTAGTAAATTTGAACTAATAAATAAAAGGCATATTTCAAAGATGGCTACAAACAAAGGTGTATTTCATTCTAGAAAATTATTAGATTAACTGATAAATAAACCAAATCTTTGAAAAGGTCAGATGAAAACATTTATACAAATGTTAAATGTAGATAAAAAAGAGATCACCCTAAATGAAGACAAGACAGAAATGTTTAGGTCCTAATCTTGTATTTTACAGTGAGCACCTAGCTGTAGTTATATATTGTAAATATATTGCACCTGGATCTTTATGCGTTTATGTTAAAATTACGTTAGTTTGGACTGCTCCTAAAATTAGGCATTGAGGCATTGCTAATAGCTCCTTTGTGATTAATTGTTTGTGATTTTCCTTCATTGGAAGTACCTTTGGATAAATGTGTCGGCTACATGAATAAAATAAGAGCAAAAAGAGAAAAAGAGAAAGTGATCGCGTTAAAGGCAGAACGAGGATCAACATTGGGCCAGCATTTTCTCGCTGGCGTGAGCTGAAGGAGGAGGGGTGTCCGACCGATGCGGACTTGGCAAAAAAAAAAAAAAATCAAATGAAAGCCTGTGTCTAAACGGCGTGCACAAGTTTGGTAGGGGCTACATTCTTGCAAGTAAATATATAAGATGTACAAAATCATATTTTAGGATACCTAACATGTCTGTGATATTTGTTTATTTGTCTTGCCTCAAGCTATAATGCAAATCGATTTGTAAAATTTGCAGATTCATTTATGGTAGCTTGATATTATAATATTGACGATATATGGTTATTATCAACCACTTAAACATTGCATTGAAGTATCATATAGATTCAGTAAAACGGTAACCAATAGACTAGGCTACTATACGACGCTGGCTTTTAAACGTGATCATCGCGATCATTTGTCGTTAGAAAAAAAATAAAACCCATGAAGTTATATTCATATGACATGCTGAAATATATGCCACTGTACCTGGGATGAAGACATTTCACACGCGACGCAAGCAGAACACCTGCATGTGACCTCCTCCTACAGTGTTCAGGGCTATCATGGTTGTCAACAATTGCACGTGCATGTAGGGTGACAGAGTTTACGACAGTAGTAGAGGTCTAGAGAACACTGTTTCCCAACTGTAGGGGGACCCCACCCCGAGAGCAAAAGTTCCCTGGTGTTACTTTAATAATACAAAGTTCTGTCATAAAAAACCCTTATACTGTCTATGTAAAAAACTAGATTGGGCAGGTTGATTGGTTCCTGTTGTATCCGTAGCCAATGAGCTCTCTCAACCTTCAAGTAGTTGCAGCACGCTTTCAGAAACCCTCCACCTGTAGATCTATGGGTATGCTATATTATACAGCAGCAGCATGTCTTACTTGCTCACAGCAGCGTGTCGTGTATGTATTGGCAGTAGCAAGTCCCGTACTTGCCTTGCCTTGCCCTGCAGCAGCAGCGTAGCAGATCTATTCCGCCAAGACCAAACATATCAACATTGTCATTCATTGCCATGCCAGAATTATTATTATTATTAGCCTGCCCTACAGGACGAGTTTAGAATATAAATGTAATTAAATACATTTTGTAATTAAACACATACAATTTTTTACATTTATTTAATAACATTTTGAATCAAAGTATTATTGATAATTATTATTATTTTAATTAAATATAATTAAATAACCTTCTTTTTTTACATTTATTTAATAACATTTTGAATAAAAGTATTATTGATAATAATTATAATATTTTTTTTAACAAATATAGGATCTTTAGAATCGTAAAATATTTTTTATTGCTGTTATTGTAGTTGTATTATTGCAGGATATGTTTTAAGTATGGATATAATTAAATAGGGTGAATTCACGTAATTTGGGACCCTTTTTGCCATTGAGATGACTGGGAAAAAGTGTCCCAATCAACCTGAATGATAATACAAAGATGTATGTGTAAACTGTGTAGATGGTAAGTGTGTCAGGCTGTGTGCGTGCTTCAGAGTGTGTAGTTGGGTGCGGTTTCTTGAGTCCAGCTGTAACCGGTTACCGCTACCGGAGACTCTCTCATCACATACACGGCAGCGCTGTATGGTCAAACAACACAACAATTATTCTCCGGAGCGGCTTTATGATTAAGCTACAATCTTCAATGAGTAAGCATATTCCAGTAAGTAAAGCCTTTCAACATATATGCATTTTTTTTTTTTCGCGGATTCATGGTTTATTTTCGTGAAATGTGGTCGTAATCTCGATCTATTGTGAGCTAACGTTAATTGACACTAGACCAAAACAGATTTTGTTGTCGACCACAGTTTATATATACATTAATACATGTGTTTTAACTATCTACAAATCTAAAACCGTGTGTATATGATTATACATATTAGATTGTATCGCTATAATGTCGTCTTGGTGACGATGTTAGCTTTGGTTAGCCTCACAGCTAACTGCTAGCTACATCAGTGAGAATTCAGAACGACATTTCGGTCTTTTGTTTTCTTGTTAATCGATTACATTAAAAATGAATCAAAGTAAGTAGCTGGGAAGAGAATGTGTGTTGTGTTGTTGTTGAAATTTAATGTAATCTGTGAGCTTTTTGCCCCATTGCTAATATTAGCTGAGCGGAAGTCTTTGTGTCGATCAATTAGCATGTTGATGATGTTTTGGATATGATGTTTTTGTTGATGTTTAGGATAATTCATCGTTTGTACAATTCAAACATTTCACCGCAATTCAAACCTTGACCGGTTTTCTACATCATAATCTGCATTTGGTCATTTTAGTGGCCTCGTTTGGGGCCTTTACACTTGATTTCCATAAAGTCACGCTTAAAAATAACTCAACCAAACATCTGTGCATTTCATTTGAATGACATGTAGATTTGGGTTACGAATACATGAGGCTTGTCGCGTCTTTTTAAAGTGGTTTGCTAAAGAGGTTTAGTATCTGGTAATCCCAAAGAGTTGATGAGACACGTGTGTGTCCTCACGAGACTGACATGAAGATTTCAGCCTTCCCAGAAAACATCCCATCTGAACCGGTCAAGTGTTTTCTCTGATGACCCACATGCTGCTCATTGACTCATCTCTGAGTCATGTGTTTATGGAAAGGAGAGAGGGATATGGTTGATTTTTAAAGCCGACACGAATACACTGGTTCAGTTCTTTAGGCTACTGGGAATCGGGATGCATAAGTATTTTTGTGTACTTCGTGAGTGTATCAATTTCAGATTATAAAACTGAAACTTGCTTCTGATTGGTGAATATTGTCACCATTGATCCAAAATCATATCAGCTTCTCTGAAAATTTCTGGGTTTATAATTGATTAATATAGAATGTACATGTACTAACTAGATGATATGATTCAAAACATACATTCCATGACTTGTAAACATTTTGTTTTCTGTGGCTGTAAACGTCCAACGAATGGTTGTGAGTTTTGCCACGAATTACTCAGCTTTTTTTTTTGTAGGACTTTTCTGTATAATTTCCAGCAATTATGGGGCTTTTGAATGTGGTTTTTTTTTTTATGTTTTTGCATTATGCATTTATTTGATCAAAAATACAGTGAATAAACAGTAATATTGTGAAATCATTCTAATATACCTATTTATTTTCAATGTTGGAAACAGTTGTATTATTTTGGAACTTGTACTTTTTTCAGGATTCATTGATGAATACAAAGTAAAAAAGAACAGCATATGTATATATATATATAAATAAAAATGTGTGTGTGTGTATATGTGTATATATATATATATATATATATACACACACACACACACAACTGGACAAGCTGAAAAACATCTTACTGTTGACGTTTTAAATCAGGAATGAAAAATCTAAATGAAGTCCTGTTTCCTGACCGCTTCTGTTCTTGTGTCCTTGCAGCAGTTCTGTGGTGTTTTGGGTCACACATTTATGGAGTTTCTGAAGGGCAGTGGGGACTACTGCCAGGCTCAGCACGGCGTTTATGCAGAGAAGTGAACGGCTAGCCTCGCTACCTCATCAGAAGAGAGACTTGTGTTACAGTTTTAACGTTGGCGGGATCTGGCTTGGAGAGCAGGTGTCCACAGCGGTCGGCGGTTCTGGATGGGGTAAAAAAAGTCTCTTGAAGTGCACTGCCCTCGTCGGCCCTACGTTTTCACTCTCACCAGAGAACCGGCCTTGTTTTCTTTAGTTTTTGGTTGTCTCCCTGTTTTTTTTTTTATTCTCTTAATCCTGCCCATCTCTTTTCTCCTCTTTGTATTTGCCAGATTTTCTGTTGTTACAAGAGAGAGTTTCTCACACTTTTCTTTAAGATTTTCAAGCTGTTTTATTTTGAAAAGTCCAAAATGGCTCGTATGAATAGACCTGCCCCAGTGGAGATCACTTACAAAAACATGAGATTCCTCATTACCCACAACCCCACTAATGCCACGCTTCACAAGTTCATTGAGGTGAGTGCTGGTTGAAATGGCTTGAACACTAAAAGTGATGTTTTGGATAGATGATAATAAAAAGCTCATAATGAGGGTCTATTACAATTGCTTATAATTACAGTAACTGCAAAATATCCCTCCCATCCATTAGGAACTGAAGAAATATGGTGTGACGACGGTTGTTAGAGTGTGTGAGGCCACGTATGATGCAAAGCTGGTTGTTAAAGAAGGCATTCAGGTTCTGGTACGTCCGTATGAACCAATTCACTTAAATGAAAATGAATCATTTTAGGTCATGTTTTAACCGTTTTTTCGCTGTTGTGCAGGATTGGCCCTTTGACGATGGAGCTCCTCCCTCTAACCAGATCGTTGATGATTGGCTGAATCTTCTTCGGCTCAAGTTTAGGGAGGAGCCAGGCTGCTGCATTGCCGTACATTGCGTTGCAGGCCTTGGAAGGTAGTTTTATAGGATTCAAGATATCATTGCATTGTATCATAAGGCATAAACATGGGTTAAAATATGTTTTGAGCTACGCATGTTTTCTTTCCCATAGAGCCCCAGTGCTGGTTGCCCTGGCCCTGATTGAGTGTGGGATGAAATACGAGGATGCTGTTCAGTTCATACGACAGTGAGTTGACGTTGTACTTGTGAAAATATTATAATAATAGTCAGCATGTGATCTCCATTTTTAAAGATAAATGTTTATTTTAATTCCAGGAAGCGCCGTGGAGCATTTAACAGCAAGCAGCTCTTCTATCTGGAAAAATATCATCCCAAAATGCGTCTTCGATTCAAGGACACCAACGGACACCGCACCAACTGCTGCATTCAGTAAAAGCTTGCGCATCAGCCTTTCTCAAATGTGTAATGGAAATTTGTATCTAGCATAAGTAGTTTGTTCTCTTAATTGGTAAGTGTGAAAATGCCGTTACAAAAATTAAGCTTATTTCGTTACAAGTGTCCTGCTCCCTCCTCTTTGTTTTATGTATTTTCCTGTGGAGAACCTCTGTCAGCAAGGTGAAGTGCTTGTTTGAACTTGAGCTTAGTGTTTTGCGATGAATTTTATATTGGATGGTGAACATGGTCAAATCTCACCTCTGCCAAACACATAGTATGCTTTATAATCTAAATGGTTTAATTTAAAAAAATTGTTTAATGCATTTTTTGTTATTGATATGATTTTTAGTCTATCTGTAATAAATGCCTGCCTCCAAAAATATCTAAAATAAATGCCTTATTACAGCAGAAAGATGCCGTCTAGTGGAGCAGTTCTCAATGGCATTTGGAGAGGTTTCTCGATGTCTTTTGCTGAAAAAAAAAAAAAAAAAATCAGGAAGAAAGAAATAAAATAGAGGAAAATAAAAATTCTTTATAGAAATATATTGAAGGTTGGGGTACTAGTTTTTGTTGTTTATCCAAACTTCGTTTACCTATTACTGCCATGTCAATAGTGTGATGTTTGTGTTTTGGCTTAAACTGGACCTCAATGTCTGCGGTATTTTTATGCCTTTTTATTTGCTGTGCGTAACTTAATATTTCGATAATTGATTTATGTATGGTATTTGAATATGTGTATTGTTAAATCACCTATTTATATCAGTGGATATGTGTTTTATCATAGCGAGAGACAAGTTGCTACAAGTTCGCCAATTTGAGAGTACAATAAAGATACACTGAAGGAAATATTGTCTCTTTGAAGCCTGATTTTCAATTAATAACATGCAGCATTTTATCAAAATTCTTTTATTTTCCTCCATTTTCACAACTGCAGGTGTCACAGCAATCCTTTCTACAATAAATAAAGAATATAGAAAATTCCTAAATATTTTTAAACAGCCCCACTGTAAAGAACCACAAACATTTTCACAAAATCTGAGAACGTCAAGGTTAAAACAACCAGAAAACGATTTAATAAAATGCTTGCAAATTATTTTTAACTGAATGCAATATTGACAAATTTACAACGTTTGGACCCCCTCTGATATAAACAGTTTTAACAGTCTTCAATGTGTAAATTGACTAGGTTGTGATGGCATGATTTGAATACTATATGCATCCTAAAGAATAGTATATTCAAATTATTTTGCAAGCTATAATTGGATTATTTATGGGGCAATTTAGGTTTATTTTGATTCTTAATAGAAATATTAGACCTATACAAAAGTGTCACAATGGGCCTGAATGAGACTGGGAACCGGATCCAACTTCACACCTGGTTTGATAAGAACAATCACACCTGCATATACCATCGACACAGAAATCTCCTCGTAGAGGGAGTCACTCCATTAGTCTCTCAAATTTCCCTGTCCAGAGACGCTGGGCTCTGATGTGTGGCTCGCTGATGGCTGTCAGCTCATAGACCGTCTGGTCCCTTCATGTTGGAATCTTTGACGGACAGTGGACCTGCAACTGCTTGAAGTACGCACTGAGATGACTCGCAGTATCCGTTCAGGCCGGGGGGGCCGGGTGGTCCCGGCACACCTGGCATTCCAGGAACACCTGTTGGTCCTCTCAGGCCATCACGGCCATTACTGCCATATGCTGGATTACCAGGCTCACCTGAGATCAGGTGGAAGAACAGATGGAGAAACAGGCCAGAGGTCAGAGGCATGCTATTTACAGATTTGCCAAGATCATTTAATGCACAGTGATGAAGTAAATTATGGATATTCGATCAGATGTTGGCCTTGCTCTTACCTGGGAGCCCTGGTGGTCCAGGTATACCTTTAGACCCCTCCAGTGTGGGCCCTCTATCTCCCCTGTCACCTTGGTCACCTAAATCAAGGGGAACAAAAGTTTAATAGTGGGCTTAGGGCTCTCAACTGGTGTTTGATGGCCCAAAACTGATGTCCCATTTGCGTTCTGGTCACAGACGTTACATTGTAAATAAATAAAAAGATTATCGGAGTATATATTACAAGAAAATAAAAATTTTACTTCAAAATTTACTAGCAATTTCTGAGTGAAAATTGTGTCGAGAATAAAACAATGCTGAATGGAAATAATAAAATGCAAGTAACCAATCAATTATGATTGGAGTAAACAGACATGACTGTTTCTGGCCAGTCATATTCTACAGTATTGTGGCAAAATGTAACGGGATCTTCCTTTGAAACTGAAAATGTGACCACACCTTAAGTTTATACCAAAAACGTCTCCGGTTACTATCGTAACCTCGGTTCCCTGAGAGGCGGGAACGAGACATTGCGTACCAATGCTGCGGGAACTCCTCCCTTCTCCACTTTTGTTGAAATCTTAGGGGCTAACGCCAGTTTGGAACAGCTGGCCAATTGTCGGACACACTGTGTATCGCATCTGATAGGCGGAACTAGACCATGAGACATCAGCTCCGACCCTATCCAAATTTGCATATCCAGACGCAATTAAAGCGAAGGCTGCACTGATCCAGGGTAGACACAACACAATCAGCACTCAAGCATGAGGGTTAAACACAGTGTCAACGGCGGTAGAAGTGACAGCTGTATTAACACTAGCCACATACACAGAGTTAATGGCTTTCGTAAGCCAATGCGATAGTGTCCACAATCCAGTGAGAAAATCTCTGTTTTGAGACGGCACGTCCCTTAGTACATCCACCAAAGCACACAAAAAGCTCATCCGACTGACGAAAGGCGGCCAAGCGATTCACATACATCCCCAAAGCCCTGACAGGGCAAATAGCTCTCTGAGCGTCAGCGTCACGCGAGGATGACGGCTCAGCAGATAAAGCGGGCAGGGTAACAATCTGTGCTTGAGAGCCGGAGAGCGCTGCAGTCGCTGGTTCCGAAACAGATACAATCGTCGTTCACCGAGAGCACGTGTAAGTCTCCAATGCGCTTCACAGAGGCAAGAGCTAGGAGTAAAGCCGTTTTCGAGCTCCTTAACAGCAATCGAAGCTAGGGGTTCGAACGGCGGTAGAGAGAGAGCCCTCAAAACTAGAGCAAGATCCCACGGCGGCGTAGATGGCGGCTGTGAAGGACTCAATCTCCTCGCTCCCCTGAGAAATCTGGTCAACCGGGGACCGGGGACCGGTCTGGTGTGCTTACTGATCGATTGCCGTCAACCGGGGAATGAAATGAAGCAATAGCGGCCACATACACCTTCAGCGTGGATGGCAAACTCCCGCTATCCAGTCTATGCTGTAGGAAGCGCAAAACATCCGACACGGAACAGATCACCAGGTCGATATCGTCCATGTCCTGGCACCATTTTGCAAAAACTCCCCATTTTAGAGCGCAAAGGCGCCTAGTAGAAGGTGTGCGCGCGTCCGCGAGTGTGCCCAGCACTTATGAATGCGTAATGTCTCGCTCATATAAGGTCCCTGAAGCGGCCACACATGAAGGTTCCACAGCTCGAGCCTGGGGTGCCATATCGTGCCGTTCGCCTGAGACAGCAGGTCCTTCCTGAGGGGAATTTTCCATGGGGGAGCCACCATTATCTCTCTCAGATCCGCAAACCAGGGCTGGTTTGGCCAGTCCGGGGCCACGAGGATCATTGACGCTCTCTCCTCCCTGATTTTGCATAAAGAAAAGAGCTCTGGAGCGCACACGGCCCAGGCGATTTATATACGAAACCACAGACATGTTGTCGGTTTGAATCAGTATATGCTGCTGCTCCAACCTCGACCGAAAAGCTTCCAGGGCTAAGGACACCGTCTTTAATTCCAAACGGTTTATGTGCCACTCTCTGTGACTCCAACCACAGACCTGAGGCAGGCACACCCAAGCAAACTGCTCCCCAGCCTGAGGTCGACGCATCCGTTGAGACCACAGTGCGTTGCGTCACTATTCCCAAAGGCACTCCTGGGCTGAACATATCCGGGTAGAGCCACGTTCTCAGAGCACTGACGCAACTGTGAGTGACCGGAATGCGCGTGTGACCTGAAGACCACGCCCTCGGCGGAACTCGAATTTTCAGCCAAAACTGCAGAGGCCGCATATGCAGCAGGCCCAGATGGCACACTGAAGAAGCCGCCGCCATCAGCCCCAGAGGCCTCTGAAATTCCCTCAGTGAAACAGACCTGCCCGGTGTGAAACGCCGCAGAGTCGATGAAATTGTCTCTATGCGCTCTTGAGAGAGGTGGGCTCGCATCGCCACCAAGTCGAAGTCTGACTTGGGATAAACACGCTCTTCTGCACATTCACACGCAGTCCCAGCGTATCCAGATGGCGAAGCAGCGTTTCCACGTGACTGATTAGCACATCCCTTGAGTGAGCTAAAATCAGCCAGTCGTCCAGATAATTAAAAATGCGCATTCCGCTCGTTCTGAGGGGAGGAATCGCTGCGTCCACACACTTGGAAAAAGTGCGGGGGGCTAGGGCCAGCCCGAACAGAAGCACTGAATACTGGTATGCCGTGCCTTAGAAAGCAAATCTCAGGAAGCGCCTGTGGCTGAAAGCTCGCGTCCGCGAAGTGGACAGGTGAGCGTGATGACGATGGATGACGGTGGCTCCAGGCCCCGTCGTCATCTTCGCCTCCAGGCAGGGGAGGGCCCACCAGGGGCTCGCTGGCGGCAGTGGGCCTTGTCCCTGTTATAGCACGTACCATATACCTCATGGTTCTTAAGGCACGCACCGGCAGCTCGGCGCAGTGGCCGCCTCGGTGTGGGCGAGGCCCTGGGGCCCGCACAAATCTGGAAAGTTGAAGCCATCGAATGCTTAGAGAAAAAGATTACTAGTCCTCCTGGTGCAGCTTGCACGACGGCAGCGTGAAGAAAGAGATTCTGACCAATTGTCTCATCCATGCATTTTATGCCTGTCAGTATTTGCATACTTCGCGACTATTGGCCAGCTGTTCCAAGCTGGCGTTAGCCCATAAGAACAAAAGTGGAGCGTTGCAGTGTTGCTACGCAATGTAGAGTTACCGCTCTCGAAAGGGAACCAAAATCAACTTCAGAAGTCGAATACTGTCTCTTCGTACCTTTGGGTCCTTTCCTCCCCAGAAGACCTGGGGGCCCTTTGAGACCTGGCAGTCCTCTGCTTCCAGGATGCCCAGGGAAGCCATTGTCTCCAGCAGGCCCTGTAGGGCCAGGGGGACCAGGAGGACCTGGCAACCCAGAGATGCCCGACTCAGGCCTCGTCAGACTGGCTGCCAACTGGGCAAGCTGTCCTGTGAGGAAAAACGAAAATGTCAAAACCAATCAAAGAACAAGGATTTAACAATGAGTTGAGCTTCCATTTGTAAATATCTGTTTGGATATCAAAATACTTACCATGCAAAACCCTCATGCAGACCTGCTTGATGTGTTCATCTGTTGGTGCTCGGCCCTAGAGGAGAATTATGTGGACACTATTAATATTTCAAATATTTTCCTCTTGTTGTTCCTCCTTGATTGGATGTAAAAAGGGCTTTGGTGGAAAAAATCCCTTTAGAACTTGACAAAAACACATTGAGGTAAAATCCCTGATGGTCTGCCAACCATATAATGAGTTTAGTACAGCAAAATCCAACTGGAATGACAGATTTAATAAACTTTGATTAAGCCGTCAATATTAAGATGATTAAAACAGGCTTACTGATCGTCCCTGTGTCCCAGCCAGTCCAGGTACACCTCTGTCTCCTTGCATGCCTCTTGGACCTGGCTCTCCTGGTGGGCCTTCGGGTCCGTGTTGGCCACGTCCACCCTCTGGCCCTTTATTTCCTGCGTCCCCTGGTTTTCCAGTCTGAGCACAACAAAAGATAAACTCTTAATCATTTTCAAGAAGGCCAATGTAGAATTTTGTACACTTTTTCTCATTTTATGGATTGAACATCTATGGAAATATGGACTCCCTCTGAATGTCTAAATTGATCTGGTCTCAAACACTGTAGCTCTAGCTGAGGCCTGGAAGAGTTTGGTTCGAACTGTCGACAAGTCGAGAAGATATTGTTTTCTGCACTGCGAAAGCAAATCCACTTTGTATGCACTTACAAATGAAAAGGACTCAGGCTCAAATTAATATGGTACAAACCATCATTAGGGTTCATTTTACTACATGTGCTGTGGAATCCTCCGGAGCTGAAATTCAGATATATTTAGTTTCCAACTAACTGTAAAGCGGTAGACCAGTCACAACAGACTGTGCCAACTGACCAATCAGAGCAGACTAGGCTTTCAGAAAGGAACGGTTTATAAAGATCGGATCCTTGGTTTCAGACACTGTGATAAAAGATGTGATGCTACAATGTATATAATGAGAAAATTAAAGTATTTTTTGACCTTGGATGTAGGGGTGTGCCGGTTTCAGAATTGGTGATGACGGTTATGACGTGAATCAAATGTGACGGTTCGTAACATAACCGTCCTTGGGGGGGGGGGATAACTGTCGTCTGTTATAGGACAAGCAGACACTGCTACTGGCATTTATTTAACATGAACAGCAAGACAACTAGAAGTGAATGTGCTTTCCATTAAATGTATCACAGTAAACAAATCCTTAACAAACAAAACAAACAAACGTTTGCAAACGTTGCAAACAAACGTGCTTTGTTTTAAATAAATCGCACACAGTAAACAAAACCTTAACGAAAAAACTTTGGAATGAACTTTGCAATTTAGACGCGCAAACTGCGTGCCGGTGCGGTGAGACGTTCATGCTCGGGCAGATTCGGCTTGAAGTCGGTCACCCTCGGACGCGGCGCCGCGCGCGCTGTTACAAAAAAAAGCCGTCCACACAGCCAAGCCAAATGGGGTCTTGCCGGTCGTGCGCACCGAACGCGTCATTTTTGCCGCGCGCACCTTCGCGATCGTGCGGACGCGTCGAGTATAAACAAGGCTTTACTCCGTGTCAGCGCGCGCTCTGATCGGTAAAGGTGCACAGACCTCTCCCGAATCATCTCCAGCAGTAGCAGCCTCCGTTTCCCTCGTAAGATGATATTAGTATTTAAACATTCTCTATGATAAAAAATGTTTGTAAAAAATATTTTAATAGCACGATTTTGGCGGTTATAGAGTACTAATGACGGTGTTCAAGTATAACCGTCGGTCTCACGGTTATATAATAACCGTCACACCCCTACTTGGATGCTTGTCAACCTAATGTAGGAGACCTCCAAAACAAAATGAAAATTGAATTTTTTTTTTCAATTAACGTTAATTTTATTTCAAGAAACAGAAACGTTTTTGTTATGGTTTTAACTCTTTACCAGCCATTGACAGAAATTTCTGTCATTTATGAGACAACGCTTCCCCGCCACTGACGAAATTTTCCTGATTCCTGTGTTTTCACTGTTATACGGTAGGGGGAGCTATTACGCATCTTCTAAAAGAGTACTGAATCTCCAGATCAAAAGACATGTAAAGAAGAAGCAGAAACAAGCGATATCATATGTAAGCAGATGCATATGTAAATTAACGTGATTATCAATATTAAACAGCATATAAATTCAAACTTCCTTATGTTACTGAATGAAATGTCGACCCAGGACGAGCTATAGGACTGTGAAACTTTGGGGGTGTTTATGGACTCGATCTACTCCATCTATGTTTTAATCATCGTTCTCACCTCATCTCAGCTTTTTGCTTAAAATGTTGCTTTTTACTTACCCACATTGGGTCTCATTCATTAAACATTCGTAAATATACGTGTAAATATGAGAGTGAATTGCGAGTAAAGAGACCTTCCCGAAAACTTATCTCCTGATTCACAAATACTTCGTAAACGTCAGATGTGACAGTGAAATGTGTGTGTTAATGAATTCCAATCAGTCGTAAATGGGATGCGCGTGCACGCTCAATTACCATAAATCCCGCCCATTAAATCCGACTGACAACTATATATGGGCATCATATTATGACACCAAACGAAGGATTTCAACATGTCTTCTCAAAAGCGAATGAAAAAGAAATCGAAGTTTTATTATCAGAAGTTCATTCAAAACACCACATTTTATTTTCAAGCGTAGGCTACATAGTGGCGTATCAGGTCCTAAAAAAAAGGAAGCTTGGCAGCATATTACAGATGCAGTTAATGGAGTTTCATCTGTTAATCAAACAGTCCCAGAAGTAAAAAGAAAAAACGTATGTAATTACTATATATAATATATTTTTTAAAATGCTGTGTAAATATGTACCCGATTAAGGTGAATTAAAATGCAGCCTTAGTTATTAATGAGCAAAACGTTCGGATGTTAAGCGCACTATTTACGCATGGCTGGGAGCAGGTGTAGATTTCTTTCGTACCAACTACCATTTGGAAAATACGAACATTTTAATGAATCCGAAAATTTACGCCAGAACCACTTTACACACGATTTACACAAAAATTCGTTCTGCTCGTGTTTCATGAATGAGACCCATTTTGTTGTTAAAAAAAAGAATGCATAAAGCTAGAATAAAACTTAGGGTCTGCTCGTTATTTGACATATTGCATGTTCAAATATTCATACAACAAAATATTGCAAATTTTGTGAAAATGATCAAAAATGCTGGCGCTGACTGGCAACTTTTTTCAAAAACGCTGGCGGGGAAAGAGTTAATTCACTATAAAAACCCTGGAGGACAGTTCGAGAGATCCCCACAATAACATCACTTCTAAGCAAACTCACCGATCCTTTCTCGCCTGGCTCCCCCTGTTCACCCTGGGAATATAAATGGACACGGAGATTAGATCAGCAAGGGGGTCATGACACATGTCTGAATGCATAACCAATACATTCTGTGACAATTAAACATCTGTGCTGTTTTTACTTACAACATCTCCTTTGTCTCCTGGTGTTCCCTCTTCACCAGATGGTCCCTAAACAAACATGCATTAAAATAGGTCTAGTTTAGATCTAATTATTTATATTAACTATAAAAAAAAAAAAAAAACTTCTTCACTGTAAAAAAATATTGTTGGTTTAATTTAAAAAAAAAGTAGGTTAGCTGGTTGCCTTAATATTGAGTTTATTGAAATTAAAAATGTAAGTTAATAAAATGAAGGAGATTGGTTTAATAAATATAACTCATTTTCTGTAAATATAAAAAAATTACGTTATCTGAACCACATTAATTATCTAAGTTGATTTGACAAAAGAAAAAAAAAGTTGCAATAACAAATCATAAAAACATTTTTTTTACAGTGTATAGAATAAAAAATAATAAGTTGGCTTACTTGCTCTCCTTTTGGACCAGTGAGACCAACAGCACCCTAAAGAATTATAAAGATAAGATTGTGCTTTTAATAGTAATTGGAACACATCCGATCCTAACTACCCTAAACATGACTGTAAAATATAATGATTTTGATTGATTGTTATTTATTTATTTTGCCAGCTTGTTTCTGAGAGAATGTTGTTACACAGAAGATTTCAGTTTTAAAGTTCTGCGATAAAGAGAATAATAATTTTACTCCATTTAACCAATAACAAAGCTTATTTCAACCAAGTGTCTGAGATTCAGAAGTCACATGACATCGCCACATTACATATTTAATTCGGCAAATGAATTAAACATTTAATTCACATTATATTTAATATAAAAAATACAGTAATTTAGCATTTTAAATCCAATTAGGTCTAAAAATGTTTTAAAATTTGGCAGCCTGATCAAATGAGTAAAGAACTAGATGTCAAAAGTTGATTTTACTTCCAGACAGTTAATTTGTCAAACAGGAAATGGAAGCCTTAATTGCATTATGGGATGCAATAGCCAGTGCGTTTACTGTATACTGCACATTTTAGCCATTGTTTAAATATATTTCTATGTGAATTTGATGCAGAAAAGTATATAAATAGAGTGATAGTATGTTGTTAGTAATGTTAGAATGCTATTCTGACCATACAGAATTGATTAGCTTTTGAAATCCTACCCTGTCGCCTTTCTGCCCAATGAAGCCAGCGGGCCCTGGGAGGCCAGGGAGGCCCGGATCTCCTTTAGATCCCTGTAGGATACATAAACACACAGACACACATAAGTAAATACAAATTCATGAACACTACACGGCCTGTGCCTGTAGCTGCCTTACAAACCACATCTGCGCTAAAAAAAACAGAGTCGGCAGCTCGGTGAGCAGGGTGCTGGCGGGGCACGTCTAAGGTGTGTGGATGGATGTGGACTATGATTAAGCCTGATGCCCTTCGCTGGCTGCTTGAAGGAATGCCTGTAAGACAGAGGGTTCATTCAAGCCCCCCTTCCTGCTCTGAATATCCCCTTACCAAAGAAAATACCCCCAGCTACTAGGCCTCAATAACAACAGGCTATTCATGCCCCTACCAGCCGATTACTGTACTAAAGCACTCCAGCGCTTTCTAAGGAGATTGTGTTTCGGTTTGCAGCACTATTAAGCTCCTCAGCATGAGAGTAAGCACATAGGACAGGCATCTGAGAACTAAGACCAAGAGGAACATGTCTCTGATTGTGTTATATTTGTTGTGGGACATCTAAACAGTGTTGTAGTACAAGTCTAAATGTACAAGTCGTTGGGTCCCAATATAGTTCCCTAAACTACAGGCAAAAACATAGTCAATTGTGAGACATTTCCATAACATGTTTTTAAGACCTTTCTTACCTTATTCACCTGGGGTGTCTTAAAATATTTTAGAACTAATAATATAGAGCTTATGTCTCAATATATATTGCAATATGACTTTCTAGAGTGCTTGTTAAAATAAGATTGAAAGTGTGAATTCAAGTTGAAGTGATTTCAAATTGTGCAGTGCTTTTTATTTTGGCCTGTCCCAAATGGTTACCTCAGCCCTTGCTCTTAAACACTTTGCCCAAATAGGCTGTTGGGTAATATGCCACATTACATTTGACAAAATGGCCGACGGTTGGCAGCGTCTGGCAGATCCAGGTGCGTTTGTGCGCACTAAACCTGTGATTTATCAAACTTCCGATGGCCTAACAATCGTGGAAGATGAACTGTTAAACTTTCTCCTGATTAAGTCGAGAACTCTTGACCAAGATAACATCATTAAGTTGGTTAAATCTAGCTTCAGTCAACAACGCATTGAAGACTCGAAGGCTGTGATGGCAGAGTTGTTTCCTGACAACAAACGCTGGTTCTCCCATAGGGGAGAGAAGAAAGATGAACTGTACATCAAAATGTGCCTGGCTGTCTTCAAAGAGAATGAGGAGTTGCCTAGATTTGTCTCGCACTACATTGACGAACTGCCTCCCGTCTCATTCAAGCATGTGGATGTTTCTGCGCTACTGGGGCGGATTATGCAACTAAACGGCGACATTGACCTTTTGCGGATGTCAATCACCTCGCAGGCGACTGCTTGTGAAAAACTGGACGTCCACATCAAGTATGCCATGTAGAACAGGACCTTTGAGAATTTAGGGGGGGGGGGGGGGGGACAACATAACTGTTGTTCATAACAACAGTTATGAACAAATGTTCTTCCAGTAACATTACTAAAAAATTAGTTCAAAAGTTATCTAGTCAGTTATTTAATAATGTTCTCAAAACATTAGCACAAAAACGTTATTTATTCATCATTCATGGAAAAAAAAATCTGAAACGTTTTAGTTGGACGTTCGTCTTTTTTTTTTTTTTTATGCTACTTGTTTCAGAACTTTCATGCAAAAGTAACGTTCCCGTAATGTTTGGAAAATTATCATGGAATGTTCCCTTAACATTCACATAACCAAGAATGGGACATATTTAGAACATATTTTCGTAGTGGCAAGGCTATTCTCAGTGCTCATGAAGCTTCATCTAGAGTGTTATTGTCTAAATGTGTCCTATTGCGTCTTTTATAGTTATGTAATATAAGGTTAAATTAAATTGTGGTTCCTGATAACTCACCCTTGCACCTGGCAAGCCTGCAGGCCCACCTGGACCTCTTACTCCTCTCTCACCCTGGAGAAAAAGAGAGAACATTATAGAAGTGACACATTTCTTTATATGACACTATATGATGTAAGAGGAAATATACTCACTGGCCCACCTCTTGCCCCGACTGGTCCCATTTCTCCCTGCTCACCACGTTCACCCTGAAATCACAACACCAGAAGATGTTCATCCATCCACATGGGCCTGTAGGCTGTGGTGAACAAATGGATAAACGGGACTCACTGTTTTCCCATTATTTCCAATCAGACCTGCCACACCTGGATCACCAGTATTTCCCTGGAGCAAAGACAACACAGGTTATCCTTCCTACTAATGGACACAAACTCATCATTTACAGCACTTCAATGAGAACTATATCATAAATGAGTTAACATAATTAATATGAATAAATAAGCTACATTACCGATCAAAAGTGTTTTGTCACTTATTGTCACTTAAAGGCACATATCATTTTGTGAAATTCTATTGCTAAATAACTGTTTTATATTTGAATATATTGTAAAATGCTATTTATTCATGTGATGACAAAGCTGAATTTTCAGCATCATTACTCCAATCTTTAGTGTCACATGATCCTTCAGAAATCATTCTAATATGCTGATTTGGTGATTATTATTCATGTTGAAAACAGTTGTGCTGCTTAATTTTTTGTGTGGAAACCATGATACATTTAATTGAGGATCCTTTAATGAGTTGAAAATGTAAAAGGACAGCATATTTTTGTGAAATAGAATGTTTTGGTAACAGTATAAATGTCTTTACTGTCACTTTTGTTCAATTCAATGCATCCTTGCTGAATATTATAGTATTATAATATTATAGTATTATAAGTAATATAATATAAGTATTAATTTCTGTATAAAAAATAACCCCACTGACTCCAAACTTTAAACAATAGTTTTTCTCAGCACACATTTAAAACAGGAATCTATCTCGGATAAACCAAACAAAGATACACTCTAACAATTCACATTTGAATTACCTACTTTTCCACCCATGTGGCCTTTTGCTCCTGAAATTCCTGGCAAGCCCTGGAGGAAAATAAATCAATAATCAATAATGCAAACTATTCCCGGTTATCTCACAAGCAGATATCACTGCATAATAGGTGCATTTTGAACAGGGGTCAAGGGTCATACGCACTGGAAATCCCTGAAGTCCAGCGTCACCAGGTGAGCCAACTTTCCCAGGAAGACCCTAAAACGACAACAGACATATGCAGATAAATTCACTTCACGAATAAAGCAGACAAACAGTGATATAACATGATATTGATCTGCATGCACAAATTAAAGTGATTACCTTTACTCCAGGCAGTCCTGGAATACCGTCACGAGCATCAACTGCAGGCAAACCCTACACCACATAACCGTTCAATTAAAAACAATACAATTTGATGGTTTAATAGATCACTTTAGCAGCACAGGTGACTTACAGCTTCTCCTTTCGGTCCAGGAAGACCCATAAGTCCCTGCAACCCCAGAGTTCCCTAGAAAGAAGAAGACACATTATACATGATTATAGTAAATCAAAAAGTTATTAGAACTTCTTAGTGTAAAAGCCCATTCACGCCAAGGACGATAACAGGAACGATAAAGATATAGTTAATAACTGTAACAATAACGATTAAGTTAGAGTTCTAAAGATTGTTCTAAATATAAAATAATAGCAGAGTCCACACCACAACTATAACGATAACAACACAGAGAAACAAATCGTAGAAATCACTTTCAGAAGGATTTTTTTTTCATCTGATGAACGATAAAAACATTGACAGCCAATCAGAATTCATTCAGAATCATGTCGAGCATATAAAGCGACAGACAAAAAAATGGCAGTGCGTGCTTTAGAATAAACAGAACCAAGTCATCTGCTTGTGTGGATGGTAATAACTATATTATGGTTATCTTTATAGTTATTCTTGATGTGAACGGGCCTTAAAGGGACAGTTCACTCAAAAATGAAGATTCTGTCATCATTTCCTCACTCTCAAGTTGTTGCAAACCTGTATGAATTTCTTCTGCTGAACACAAAAGAAAATATTTTGAAGAATGTCGGTAATCAAACAGTTAGCTTCCAATTGACTTCCATAGAATGGAAAAAAAATGCTATGGAAGTCAATTGAGCCCATCAACTGTTTGGTTACTGACATTCTTCAAAATATCTTCTTTTGTGTTCAGCAGAAGAAATTCATATAGGTTTGGAACAACTTGAGAATGAGGAAATGATGACAGAATCTTCATTTTTAGGTGAACTATCCCTTTAAGGGAGTCAAAAAAATATGGCAAGCTTGTTGAATCTTCTTGAGCTGTTGATATGACATTATAAATATAATGTATATGTGTTGTTTTGTAGCTGTATGAAGACTCACCTGAGCTCCTTTTGGTCCAGTCTCACCTACTTTTCCTCTTTGGCCCCGATCACCCTTTAAAAATCAAATACAATATAAATCTATAGGTTTTAACTCTTCATTTACAAAAACAAATCAAGCAGCCTGTAAAGATAATATTACGATGAATGTGGATAAATGGCAAGACAACTGATGCATATTTTGAAATGAGGTTAAAGGCCAAACTTTTGTGGTGCATTTTTATAGGATAAAAATGACATCATTTTGATTTTGCCACTTACAGGAGCACCCTGAATACCCTGAGAGCCCAGGTCGCCAACATTCCCACGAGCTCCCTAATGGAGAAGAATATACAATTGGTAATTTCAAAACATATCCTTGTTATTGTATTAGATATGAAGACCTCTTGACACTCACCCTGTCCCCTTTAGGGCCCATCATCCCTGTGATTCCTCTCAAACCCTGCCGACCCTACAGTAACAAAACAAGCGACACACTGAACAGGAACACATGGGTGGAAAAGATACAAACAAACATCATATGAACTATTAGTATATAAGATAACATCAGTAAAAAATATTAGATAAGTAATGTCTTTTTTTACAGGTAATCCTTGTGCACCCGGCTCTCCATGTGCTCCCTGGTCTCCTTCTTCTCCCTGTAAGAAATCAATAAAATTACACACCTAGACATGATCTTTGCTCTGTAACTAGCTTAATTATTTTAACAATTACGTATTTATGAGCCACCATAAATTAAAAGGTCATTTGATCACATTTGCTCTACAAAAAGAACTCCTAATAATAATTTGAATAAATAATTTCGCTAATTGTTCAAAAGAACTTCATTTATGCAACCGTCACCTTATGTCCTTGCCTTCCTGGTTCACCTGATTCACCTTTGACACCTTTGTGACCCTAGAGTGAAAAATAACGCCATCGTGTGTTAGACATCCTTGTGTTTGGCTAGAAGTATATATGAATTGAAATAATGTCATTTAAAAGGCACCTTCATGCCAGGGAGACCTGTGTAACCATTCAGGCCAGAAGTACAGGCATTTGGACACTAAAAAACATAACAAAGACAAAACAATTAGTAGAAACATAATGCATATGAGTGACTGTTCCGTTAAAATTAAGAGTACTTATCTATTTTAAAACATTTATCACATGTCCTGAAATAAAGATCAACGTCAGCAAAGATCAAAGTCAATTTTGGCATGAAGTGTGATGTTGCAGAATTTGTATATAGTGTGTGATGGGTCATCATAGTGGACAGAAAGTTTTTCCTAATTGAAGAATCACCCAGAAATATAAGAGTCCTAACACGTGATGGCAGTTTTGTTGGAGCAATTGAGAAAGTAACCAAGTAGCAGAATTAATTGTAACATCAAAATCAACATCTTTAACCAAAACAGATATACAGTAGAACAGCAAATATGTGTTGTTGTTTTTTACATAAGATTGCTCAGTTTCTGTTTCCTGAAATCTGAGGAGCAAGCACTAGATTTAGTGCAAAGGTAACAGGATATGAGACTTGAGGATACATACCAACTCCTTCCCATCCCAGACTCCAGGAGGGCCCTATGGATAGAAGGAATATATACTTTTAACAATTCTGTTTATATAGCCATATATGCATCATGGACATGAGTGAATGGTCATAAAGATCTCAACATTAATACTTACTCTGGGCCCTGGCAGTCCTTGCGCACCAACAGGACCTCTCAGTCCACGACTTCCCTTTAAAGCAGAACCAGAGACAGACCCTTCAAATTATTATTCAACTATTTTATTTTAATTTATTGGAATAATGGAGTAACATTACATACAGGAGGTCCAACTTTGCCCAGCTCTCCAGGTAATCCATCTTCCCCATCAGCACCCTTCAGTAAAAAAAGAAAACAATACAGGAGCCGATAACAACAGAAAAAAAGTATCAGCAAATCCCGCCATTAAAAGATAATTAAATGAAATATTAAGCACTTACAGCTTCACCATCCTCGCCAACACCCTGTTAACAAAGTAACAGATGTGCAATGATATGAACTTAGCATCAGCCCAGTACAGTACAGCCTTGTATCATTACATCACTGTATGGGCTAAAAGGTCAACTTGATCAATGACCGACTGCCTGCAACAGTTCAAAGTGTGTACAGCCATCTTATAATGGGAGGTCGCTGTTTAAACAGATATATCTATTCATAATAACAAACTAATGGAAGAGAAATCCCTATAAATATCTGATTATTCTAGTAGCACACTGAAATGACACGAGACCAATCAGTGTGAAGAGAATCTGAATCATTTACTTACAGGGGCTCCTCTTAGTCCTGGCTCACCCGGTTCACCCTAATAAAGAATAAACATCAAACCATAGGATCTTTTAAATGAACTTTAATGATTAACATTTAGAACTTAAGTAATTGAAGCATCAGTCAATTTCAAATATATGTGTGCACTTTCACTTATTTTTAAGAGAAAAAGTGGAATAATAAATAAAACGCATTATTAAGTGGAAACTTACTTTCTGTCCAGGAGGGCCAACAGGGCCAGGTACACCACGGGGCCCAGTCAAACCCTTAGAAAGACAAAACCATTTATGATCATAGATTTCACTATAACTCACTGCAGAGTTATTCACTGATCTGACAACAGCTGAACTAACGGTAATGTGATACAGCTGCAGGATCGCAGAGCTAATTATTTATGCTTATTTAACATTTGTATTAAATTAATTGCATTTTTTACAAAAAAACTCAGACACACTCTGACAATAAAATGATAACAATTTTTTAACCAATTAGAAATGACATTTACCTTTCTCCTGACTTTGACAAATATCAAACCCTGCCCACATTTTCTCTAATATATGTACAGTAGACGACTGCGGACGCCTGTGTTCAACACTTCATTACAGGGAACAGGGAACATCTCTCCAAAATGATAGTCACCAAAAACTATTTCATTTTTAAATAGAATTATGCATATAGAATGGTTTAGTATGAATGTATTTTTTCCCTTTGCATCAGTAATACCAACATTTAGAACCAAAATCCAGCAAATATATATTTTATGCTATCTACCATTTATATATATATATATATATATATATATATATATATATATATATATATATATATATATATATATAAATACATACACATACATAAATATACTGTATATTTACTTAAATATATTTAAAAGTTTTGTTTTTTTGTTTTTTGCAAAGTAATGCTAACATGATATGCTACAATATCAAGCAACCTACAATATAACATCTGTATGTTTAATTAATGCTAACATAATAGATTACTATGGACAAAAAAAAAACCTTTCTTAAACCTTTAAAAATATCTTTTAAACAAGATAAAATTACTTGAGAATTAAAACTGAAGATATTAAAAAATATTAAAAACTTGTCTTTCTTCATGCGTTAATTAAACCAGAAAATAGATCTGCCAGTGGTGTATGAAACATAAACTTAACCCATGATATAGTCTCTGAAAACACACACCCTAAACAAGCCTGCTTCTCAAGTAAACATATCTTATTTTAAGGATGTTTGGATATTTTTACTGAAAAACAAGACTAAAAAACTGATAAATAAATTGATTTGTGTTGTGTTAAGTCTTTCAAATGACTCACAGCGCTAGCTAAACTATAAAGCTCAGAGGAGTCACAAAGGAATAGGTGTTCTTCGGTTTAATGCTCAGTTTCATCAGTACTAGTACACATTTCTGCTCCTGTGGTTTCATACTTGCACAAAAAGGTCTCTGTCTCCACCAGGAAGCTAATATGGGTTTCTGTCTGCTCTTTCTCTTTCCTCTCCTCTCCAATCCTTTTTTCCATCTAGGATTTTTTTTTTTTTTACTCAGACCCCTCCAATGCAAACTACACTTGCTCTGATGGTGCCAGCGTTACTTAGAAAAGAAAAGCTGGTTTTATCTCGGTTTCCAGACCTCAACAAAAATAAAGAACAATACTCACATCCGCTCCAGGTTTTCCCGGAAGGCCATTTAATCCATCTTTGCCATTGTCCCCATCAAGGCCCTGCCGAATTAATCAGATTAATGGATTGTAGAATATAATTTCAGCTATGTATACTCATTTGTTTCTTGAAAAATACTCACTGGGGGGCCGACAGGGCCGGGTCCAGGACCCCTCTCACCCTAAATCAAACAAAATACAAAAAAGAGACATTATTCATGGCTACAAAACATACCTTGTGTATAGTATGAGAGGACAGACCTTTAATTTGTTTCTGAGAAATCAAAGTGTAAGCAAAATAATCGATATGTGACTCACATCAATGCCGTCAACTCCAGAAAACCCAGGAAGCCCTGGAGGTCCAGGCGACCCTCTTGGACCGACTGGCCCCCTCTAAAAACAACAAGAACAACAACAAAAACACAAAACAAACCATCGCTTACTCAAAATGTATCCTGAAATAAAATAAAAAAGTTCTACAAACAATGAAGTCATTGTATGTGCGCCTGATGCTGAGGTATCACAATGGCTTTCCTCTTATCCTGGGAAAGTGAAAACAGCTGTGCACACCTGGACCAATTTACAGAAAATACCTTCCATATGTCAAGTAATGTTCTGGCTGTCAGATACTTGCAAATTCAGATAATATTAATACAGAAGCTTGGCATCAATTAACATAAGAAATATAAGACAAGTAGGTAGTTCAGAAAAAGTGCACAGTTTGTGAAAAATGTATTTGCTGCTTTAGTAGGCTATTATTTAATAATCTCACATCAAAACACACATTCCTTTGCTGCCTATATTTAATGTTTTTGTCTCAGATATTTTCAGAGCCATACAGTCTCAACCCATGAACTCAAAACACCCACACAGTCCATCTCTACTGCTAAAGAAATCCCTTGTTTCCTAGGGGTGGTTAATCTGTCTGATTTCCCGATTCGATTCGATTACGATTATTGAAGTCCCGATTCGATTACAGTCGATTTTCGATTATTAACGATTCTCGATTAGCGATTATTGATTTTCCATTTCACAACAGTAAACGAAAATACACTAGACCAACATATGATTATATTAGCAGCAACATTTTGGTATTAATTTGCACTTTTTATTTGTTTGATATTCAATGAAAATGTAATGATGGTTACTGAGGACATGCAAACATGCTTGTTGTCTACTACTTAGGCAACCCATTATCTTTAAATTAAATTATTTTTTAAAAGCAATTGTGTTGCATTATAATGCAAAGGCACCTGGTTCTATTAATTGACAGCGTTAAAATGCATTTTGTGATTTCCTTCAATTGAAAATCTTTGAAGCAAGTTTGGGGGATTTGAAGGGCACCCAATTCAGAGAATCACCCAGAAATTCAAAAGAACAGCATTTATCTGAAATAGAAAGCTTTTGTAACATTAAACAATACCGTTCAAAATTTTGGAGTCGGTAAGATTTTTTATTTAATTTTTTTGGGCGAAAGAAAAAAGAAATCAATACTTTTATTCATCAAGGATAAATTAAATTGATCAAAAGTTACAGTGAAGACATTTATAATGTTACAAATCAATTATCTGAATCTTGTGTGTGTGTGTGACTATAAATACTTTGCTTTAAAAGTACAAAGTAATGACCCATAAAGAATTAACGTACAATATATTTTATTAACATTGCAAAGAACCAACAGGAAAATAAATGTGTGCCTAAACTAGGAGCATACTTGTAGTAAATTAATATTATAACGACTGGTACAGCCGAGTGTTTTTCCTCCTCTGGCTGGAAACGTGTCATATGGTTTCTCATATTTGTCGTGTTTCGGTCGTTAGTTTTATTATACAAAGCTTACAACTAGTGTGGCTCTTGTCCAGCTCCTTTCCCCCTTCAACTTCAGAAGTCAAAATATCTCCACACGTCAGCTTTTAACCTAACGCGGAGGGTGTTTAGCGCTCAGCCATCGCGTCTCTGTTATGTGCACGCCACAGACGGTCCGGCCACTGCACTTCCGCGCTTCAGAGTTCCGTCTTTCGCGTTCCGTCAATATTACGTTATTATAAATATATCAATTTTTTTTTTTTTTTTTTGGGAAAAATCGATTTTTTGACATTTGTGAATCGATTCAGAATCGTCCACGTCCGCATCGCGATGCATCTAAGAATCGATTTTTTCCCCCACCCCTATTGTTTCCTACCTGTGCAGAGATGACCAGGACTAACTGCAGTAAAATCAGCAGCACGGACGCGCGGAGAGTCCCGGCGTGCGCCATAGTCACCTCCGATGACTTGGAGGCAAAATAGTCCTTTTTAGGAGTTTTGTTGGGGTTCACGGGTTTTCTGTCAATATTCCCCAACTAAACCACACCATCTACCAGTCTCTCGATGCAGTATTAAGAAGTCATGCTTATTCATCAGCCGTGTTGGGAACTTGAAGGTGATTGGATATGAGTTCAAAGGTTTGCGTAAAATGGGCGTGGCTCAAGCTCCGGGTACCTGCTGTGGGTACCGCTCGTAAACAATACATCCTATGAATCAGATGTATCCCAGATTTAGATCGGATTCGGTGCTAGTAACTTTTTAAAAAGATTACCAGGCTGTCCGTTTTTCTAAGGTACAAAATGAATATTGTAACAACCGTCTCCGCCGAGATTTCAATGTAAAACTTTATGTTTTATGCATAGGAAACTTGGTATTAGTGACCACTATCTAAAAAGAAATTCACCTAACTTTTATCTAAATAATAAATTCCTAATCTATTTGGACGAGATGCCATATATTGTGGTGGAGATTATATTTTTTGTACTGGACAATAAAATAAATAGAATATTTACATCAGTCTTTTCCTGATTTTTCTTAGATTTTTCTAAGGTAAATAAATAAATAAAATTAAATAAAATACTTTAACGACTGTAATGTGGTTAATGCATAGACTGTAAAAAATGGGTTAATGTGATAATAACCATATGGTCTCCCAAACACCAGATGGCGCTGTAACCTTTAATTGAAGCGCTTTCTTACTCTGTTATCTTTTTATTTTGAAAACGGAACCGCCGCCGTTGTCCTGGTACTGTGAAGACAACAACTATAACATCTGACCATTTAAAGGTGAGGCAAAACAGAAAAGAATAATCATTGTGCTTTAAACTTCACTTATGTTTTCTTTTCATATGTTGCACAACATCCTTCTTATTTCAGCACTATGAACGTTGCTGTCAGTAAGGCAGTTAATAAAGATTTTGTTGAGTTTTGTTTAAACTTAACAGATAGGCTAGATGTTTTCTCTAGAGTAAATACGACGTATTTGACTAATGTCTGATCTTTTTATTTTGTTATTAAAAGATGGAGAGTCTAGACTATTCTGAGGAGGAGATTCAGCTGCAGTTAGCTGCACTTGGATACAGTAATATTCCCAAAGAAAGACTGCGGGAATTCAAGCGAGGTGGGCTAATATTTTGAACTGTTCCAGCCTACATCAGTGCATGTATTTGCATTTTATAGCATGTCTTGCCTTGAAGTAGTGCTGCCATATTTATGAATCTCCACCAGATCTAGATCAGCTGATTCGTCATGAAAAGTCAAAGAGTCACAGCTCCAGTGAATGGACTTCTCCAACATCTCACAGCAGTTCCAGCAAAAGTCCACCAGCGCTTATTAAGGAAAAGGGTGAGCAGTCACTCCAGCTTTATGCTGTGCAATTTCATGTGAATTTAAAGCATTTTTTAACACACTTAACCTGTTAAATTTGTGTTTTTGCCTCAGTCCAACTGAACAACATTGGTCCCAGTTGTAACTACGTTCTCTTGAACACCAGCTCAGCGGGGCAACAGAGAGAGGTATGAGTTTTTAAAGAGACGGAAGTTGCGATAGTGTTTTCTTCATTATTGTGATGTATATATGAGTAAAGCGGCTTCTCAAATGAAAAAGAAAATGTAGGGTGGAACTTGATTTTGTCCACAGGGAATTGATTGAACTGTTGTGGTTTGCTATTGCTATGATGTAATGTGAGTGACAGGTTGTCCCGCCCTCATGCCAGTTAACACATCATCAAAGAAGTTATTTTGATTCAAATTATGAGGACACATGAATTTAAAAAAAAAAGATGTGCATGGTTAGATCAATATAAAAGCAATATAAACTGCAATATTCCATAAAAAACAAGAATTGAATTGAACTATTTTGATTTCATGGTGACTTAAACACGTATAATCGTTCTAGGACTGTGTACGCAATATGTATGTTTTTCCTATTTTCCATTCCTAGATTTTCACGTCCACATTTAATGAGGACGATCACAGAGACACTGGTATGAATCACTACTATGATTCATATTCACGGCACTCAGTTGCTCACAGACCAGCTCGGCCCTCCACAGCACCCAACAGGCTGGAGACTGAGGAAGGCCCTTCTGAAATATTTCACTCAGTTTTGGATGGGAGTGAGACGACAAGTCCTGATAGAGAACATCGGGCTCATTTGAAACCTGTGATTAAAAGGAAAGTGTTAAGGTGGGGACACACAATCATTTCTTGATTTGATAGTTAAAGTAAAAAAAACAACCTCATCATCCATGCGCATGTGTAATAAAACATTATTTTATTTTATTATTTTATCTCCTTATATAGAAAGCATCAAGGTCGGTCTCATGTCTGTGATGAGTCCACGCATAGTGAAGATTCTGGTAAGTCCAGTCATTATGTTTCTGGAATTCTAATAAACTACATACTGAATGCTGCAAAGTATCTAATGTATACCTTTAAAAAAAATTGTATGTGAAACAATGCATTATGCAACTTTTTATTTCAAACTGAATTTCTAATGGTTTTGAAAAAAAAATACTCTAATGCTCACCAAGGCTGCATTTATTAGATTGATAATACAGTAACAAAAAAATACTGACCACAAACATTTGAATGGTAGTGTACAGATTATATCCTGAAGAGTAGTAATAATACCTCCCATACACCAGGTGGTGCAATTAGCCTAATAATAAACCCAGTAAAGTTCTTATCAGTAATCTTCTTAGTTACATTCCCCCTCCCTCTCAGCCATCTGCTTTGGCTCAGAGGAGGATTTCATTTTCTTACTGAGGGCTAAAAGAGAGATCTGTCCGTCTACCCCAAGATGTATAAAGCTTTTGACAGCCATTTGGAAAATGAAAGCAAGGACGATGAAGGATCCCTGTCCTCTTCTTTCTGGACAGATCGGGAAAGTGAGGGGGAAGACGGGGACTATGTTAAGAAAGAAAACAGAAGGATTGAGAGAAAGCCTGAAAGAGACAGTAATGATGAGAAGAAAAGATTTGTAATGGGAGATGATAAAAAGGAGAGGATGAAGGAAACTCTTCAAGGGAATGAGTTGGAGAAGAAGAAATATGTACAGGCTGAAACAAATCCTAAGGCAGGTGATGAAGGAAGTGATTTCGATAGAGAATGTTTCATGGAAGTTGAAATGGAAAAAGGCATAGAGGTGACAAGAACAGATCAAGAAAAAGAGGAGGACAAGGAAAAAGGCAAAGAGAATGAAGAGGAAGAAGAAAGTGAAGATGAGGAAAGAGAGTTTGATGAGGAGGAAGACAGTGGAGATGAGGAGGAAGAAGAAAGTGAAGAGGAGGAAACAGGACTAGAGAATGAAGAGGAGGAAGAAAGTGAAGATGAGGAAGAAGAAAGTGAAGCTGAGGAAAAAGAGTTTGAAGAGGAGGAGCAAAAAGGAAAAGAAAGTGAAGAGGAAGAAACGGGACAGGAAAGCGAAAAGAAAGAAGCCTGTGAAGAGAAAGAAAGTGAAGAGGAAAAAGGAGAAGCAAGTGAGGAGGAGGAAAAGGAAGAAGTAAGTCAAGAGGAAGAAGGAAGTCGAGACGAGGAAGAAGAGTTTGAGCTGTGTGAACAGGGGAAAAGGAATAAAAAGAAGGAAGAGGAGGATCTAGAAGAAAGTGAGGAGGAAGAGGATAGTGAGGAGGAGAAAGAGAGCTCTGTCAATGGAGAAAACTCTGAGGAGAACAAAGCCCAAAGCAATGATTCAGAGAGCGAGAAAGATCAGGTGAGTGTGGAGGAGAGTGAAGAAGAAGAAGAGTGTTTTCCAAAAGAAGACTCAAATAGTGAAGAAAAGTGTACAGGTAAAGATTCAGACAGTGATGAAAAGAAAGAGGGTCTCACCAAGGAAGAGAGCACAGGTGGAAGTGGGGAAGAAGAACAAGATGAGGAGGAAGAAGAAGAAAACGAAGAAGGAGATAATGTATGTTGTGTATCAGACGAGAATGAAGGCATTGAGGACAAAATAGATGGTGGCCAATCTTTTGTGAAGAAAGAGAGCACAGGAAACTCTGAAAGCGAGGGATCAGAGAACGGCAAACCGAATGAGAGAGAACCTAAAAATGACGAAGACATGAATGACGAAGAGGAAAAAGACTTTTTCGCAAAAAGGAAGAAAACAGAGGAAAACCCTGACAGCAATGAGGAACAGGAGAGGAATGGTATTGGAGATGGAAACAGTGAAGAGGAAGAGAGAGAATGTTTTATCAATGAATATGACAAAGAGATAGAACTTGGAAAGAGTGATGAAAAAGACGGAGATATAAGCAGCGATGTCAATCTGGCAGAGAACAGGTCAGGAGCAGATGAACATGAAAGTGGGATGGAAGAGGAGGAGGAAGTATCTAAAGGAGGCAGTAAGGAAAAAGAGGAGATAGACTGGTTTTTTGATGCACCTGTTGGGGAAAAGGAGAGTTGGGACCAGGACAGGAAGTCATGGGCAAGTGATGATGATTATGTTACCATATCCAGTGGCCATTCGCAGAAAGAAGAGGAAGACGAACATAACACGTTGCCTGCTTGGGAAGAAGAGCATGCTGATGTACGGCAGAAGAAGGAAACTAGAGACATCTATGATGAGGATTTTCATGAAAGTCTGGGCAGCCCTGCCGCGAGCATTTTAACGTCCGGTTATGGCACGTACAGACCAGACTCGTCTAAAGATGGAGACCCGGAGGAAGTGGACTATAGAGACGACTGTACTCTGGCTGGATTAGAAGAAGAGAGCGAGTCGATCTTAGATGCTCATGATTATGAGGATAACAGCAGTCTGGTGTGGTTCGGAGACGTTCAAGCATTAGAAACATCTGATGGAGGAGCTCCTGCAAAATCACCGGATGATAGGAAAGATGTAGCCGTACACTGTACTGATCAAAGCCATGATGGATCCGAGGATGATGCTCATCGATTTCCTGACACGCCAAGCAAAGGTCATCAAGCCGGCCCGCAGCAGACTCCCACAGGGAGTGACATTGGAGCTCAAGATTCAGGCTCTCAAAATGTGGCATATTTCAATGATGGTTTGGAGGTTGAGGGTTTGCGGGACAGTCTTGACCACCCATTTAATTTGAGGCACAGGAGGGGCAGAGTTCAAAGGAGACCCGAGGAGAAACGGAATGATGATGGATATGATGACGGCTCAAAGGGGAAGAGGGTCAGAGCTTATACTGGCTGCCTTGGTGTGTTACACTGTTTACAGGGATTTGCTTATTTTGCTTATTTATATACTTTTATTTAGTTTTTAGAGGTATAGCTGCAGAGGAAGTAGAGGGGAGAGATGTATTTATCTTTTTTTTTTCATTATTATGAATATAATACTCATTATGAAGATGTGTATACTGCTTAGAAGCATGTAACATCTTAAATAGACAATAACTACTCAAGATTTTTCTTTAGTTTAATTTTTGGGACATTTAGGGATTCGGGACGACAGCTTAGATTTCGGGACTGTCCCGAATCTTTCGGGACGTCTGGTCACCCTAATCTCACTGGATTATTAATGTAAAATGATATTTCCTACTGACATATTATATCAAAAGATATAAATAACTGGCTATAATGTATAATATTATAGATGTTTAGGATGTGTGTAATCATTTACTTATGTTTTGTAGGTACAGTTAGTGAGCTGGAGGAGCGATTGGACCACATGCGGATCGGTGCATCTCGTGTGCAGTATGACTCAGAGAGTGAAGAAACAGGAAGTTACAGTGGCAGATCCAGCTCTGTGACGGAGGAACCCCCGAGTGCTTTCCTGGAATACATCAGAGGCATGGTCAGTACACAGACACCTTCCTACTTATCAGTCTTCTACAGTTTAGAATTTTAAACTGGAATTGTTTTTCCATGGGCGTTGGTTTGATTTCAAACTGCAATTTCATGTCATATAAAGCCATTATCTATAGATATAGGTAGGATCTCACTTATAACTCTTAACATAATCTTGATTATGCAATCAACAGCATTACAATTTAGCTTTCTGTAAACTTATCTAAACAAGCATACATTCATAACTGAAAAAAGCGTTATTCAGGGATCGACTAAGGTTTTTAGCTCACATTGACAATTAATCAATTCTGTAATGTTATATTTTAAAGGTAAGGAATGAAGACAAGGAGGCATAATGTATGTAGAGGACTTAAGTTACAGGCAGGGTGCTAATTACACAGTTAATGATGTTTATTTATAGATTTATATTTGGCATTTTTGCCTTTATTGAAATTATGGTGACATGTAGGTGATCGACAGGAAGCAAAGTGGGAGGATATGGGACAGGATGGCGAAAGGTCCCTGAACAGGGACTCAAACTCCCATTATATGTTGGAGCGCTGCTGCCCATGAGGCTGTCGGCTTCAACTCATCGCTCTATTTTAATATTAAAAATAAATTGAACCAATGAAAATTCTGAAAGAAAACGAGACAACGAATCTACTGTGCTAAAGAAATGAACACAAATTTCACGCATATCTGTTTGACAGATAAATCGCACATTTTAAAGATATATTGAATGTTTTAAGTTAAAAAGGATAAACTTCAACTTAGCTTATATTCTCTGTTCATGCATTAAAGGTGCCCTATGTAAAAATTGAGGTAAAATTATCCAAAAAATGAGCTACACGCATCAAAAGAATGAGAAGAAATAAGTGCAATGATGTCATTAAAAAATGGACAAGTTATAGTGCTGCCGAGATATAAACCTAAATTAGCATGCTAAATTACTAGCGCCGGCCCGACTGGTGTCGTAATACCAGTTTCGGCCATGGGAGGCGGTATGCGGGCAACATACATAACCACCAGCCAAACTGCAGTACACGAATAACTCGCACGGCTTGTGGGCGTACTTGAACCTGATGTCAATCGCGTCTATATGAGACAGGCATTTATAATTTAGTGTTGAGATGTTGTTCATTGAGTCTCTAATCTCTTAAAATATCCAAATGAACTGCGGCCTTACTATCGTGTCAATTGATTTGATTAATATGCACGAGGGAGAGAGAGAGCAGGAGGACTGCGCTCGTGTTGTTTGAAGACGTGAGAGTGCGCGCGCGCGGCCGGGGCGCTCTCTCTCTCTCTGCTCGTTATAAGCCCTGTCAAGCGCAGCAGTCATTCTATTCTACATCACTCACCGATCAAAATAGGCTTTGGCGGGACAAAGCGGACGATTTGACGGTTTTTAGAAGATTCACAAACCGAAACTAAAAAACAGACTAGAGTAGGCCAACTTTCTGGAGGTATACTGCCCCCATCTGGTATGGAATATGCGGAATATAAATTTTATTTTTTGGCAGACATTCCACATGGCACCTTTAAATGTGTGTCCTTGAAAGAGTGCATGCAGTTTTCTAACTAATTTACTTTGACTTATCAGGTAATGTCAGTGGTATGACCCATTTCAGATGCGACAAAATTGCAACAACATTGATTGCATATAAATATATTTTAATTGTTTGATCAAAGTTATTGCTAGGGACAATTCAGTAGTCACTGGATATTGGTAGGGACATGACCCTAGCGTCCCTACTAAATTCTACACCCTTGTCCTCCAACAGACACGATCACACAGCGAGAGTGACATTCGCCCTCGTCCAAAGTCATGTAAGTTCCATTTTCATGTCTAGTTTCAGTTCATACTGGTTTCTTTGACTCATGACTGTCAGTTTGCATGCATTTACAGAATCCGATTCTCTTCACAGTTATACGGCCAGTTTTTGATCATCCTCACACGAGGAACTTGAAGAAAACTGATCCAGTGGCAAAGTATGGCATCCTGCATTGATCTTCATAAATAAACAATTCAAGACTTGAATCTCTTGTGATTGGTTCAGGCTTTTACAGTTGCTGTTAAAGATCTCACACTGGAAATGTGATAGATAACCCACTGACTGAGCACCACAAACTGATCGTAACATTGATCTAAATGTGTTTTTGACTGCTTTATCAGGTATTTGCAATATAAGCAGGACTGGGAGATGTTTAAACCTCCAGGAGAGAAGAGCAGGAAGGAGCTGCACTGGGCCATCAGGGTAATCCTGTACTTGTTTTAGTAGTGGCTGCTTGCTAAGAAAAAAAGAGTATTAATGTGTGCAAGTTTGATTTGTATTACAATATTTGTATTTATTTTTCTCAGGAACAGCTCATGTATCAGCCTCCACCAGTAAGACACACACACATATGAATATATATATTTATTTTTGGAAAGGACTGCCTGGATTCTCTGAATCTGAGTGTTTTTTTCTTGTCTCTATAGACGAGACCTCAGAAGACATTCATCCCCAACAATTATGTGGTTCCAACAGAGAAGAAGCGATCTGCTCTAAGATGGGAGATCCGACATGATTTAGCACACGGCATTATCCCAACAAAAATCTCCTATCCCTGAGATGCAGAATGTTCCACCGATGCCTTATCTTTTATATACTCTTCTTAATGTTATTATTTATTCATATGATATTGAATTGTTTTTTACCATGTGGAATATGTGAAATGAGACAACTTGATCACTGTTTTTATGAAATAAACTTTTTAATACTCTGAAATCAATGCTGTGTTCATGGCAGGTCTCTGTATGGGAGTTTAAAGGGATACAGGGGAGTGTAACGCACATCATGCCAAAGAAGCTTCTTTTCAAGAAATTTTACAGCTTCCAGAGTGAGAACCAGGCTCTCGTGTTTCAACATGCTGTGGACGTTTAGACCTGTAAAAACAAATTGCATATAATGTTTTTCAACTTCACGGAAGCTTTAATACAAAAGCCACATTCCCTTATGTTCGGTCTACAATAAATGTGCGCTTATAATGTGGTTAGTTTGTTTACCTATAGCTGGAATAATATTCACTGTTTTCAGGTTTTCGGTTGCCTTGAGAATGTTCTGAGGGAATTCTTCACCTCTGGAATGCAAGCATGCAAAAAAAGAAGAAATTACTTAAACCCAAAAATTTACTCACCCTCATGTCGTTCCACAAATGAAGACCTTTTTAATGAAATCTGAGTTATTTTTGTCCCTCCATTGACAGTCTACACAACTACCACTTGAATCCTTCAAAAAGTCCATAAAGAGATTGTGAAACTAATCCATATTAATTGAGCAGTTAAGTCCAAATTTCCTGAAGAGACTCGATAGCTTTATATGATGAACAGATTGGAACGACATGAGGGTGAGTAATTAATTAATGACTGAATTTTACATTTTTGGGTGAACTATCAGTTTAGTTCACCCAAAAATGAAAATGATGTCATTAATGACTCGCCCTCATGTCGTCCCAAGCCCGCTAAGACCTCCATTCATCTTCAGAACACAGTTTAAGATATTTTAGATTTAGTCCGAGAGCTTTCTGTCCCTCCATTGAAAATGTATGTACGGTATACTGTCCTTGTCCAGAAAGGAAATAAAGACATCATCAGTAGTCCATGTGACATCAGTGGGTTAGTTAGAATGTTTAGAAGCATATCGAAAATAAATTTTGGTCCAAAAAATAACAAAAACTACGACTTTATTCAGCATTGTATTGTCTTCCGGTTCTGTTGTCAATCCGCGTTCAGTGACCGGTAGACAATACAATGCTGAATAAAGTCGTAGTTTTTGTTATTTTTGGACCAAAATGTATTTTCGATGCTTCAAAAAAACTTCTAACTAACCCACTGATGTCACATGGACTACTTTGATGATGTCTTTATTTCCTTTCTGGACAAGAACAGTATACCGTACATACATTTTCAATGGAGGGACAAAAAGCTCTCGGACTAAATCTAAAATATCTTAAACTGTGTTCTGAAGATGAACGGAGGTCTTACGGGCTTGGAAAGATATGAGGGTGAGCCATTAATGACATAATTTAAATTTTTGGGTGAACTAACCCTTTAAGGAAACAAATATATCAGGTTTGCAATGGCATATACATCCCCTCTTGCAGACTTACACGTCAACGATGAGGACTGAATCCCCCCACTGTCTGTGTTTGACCAGGTCCTGGAGATAGTGGGGGTCTAGAGTGGGAATCTCCAGTGAGTCCACAATATGAAGGTAATCCTGGAAAAATAATGAGACTATTTTGTCTAATAGAATAATTTATGAACCAAACCACTTTTCACTTATTGACAAACGCATCCGTTTTGCTACTGTTAACTAAAACTAAAAAAATGTTTGTTAACTGAAATAAAATAATTACATGAATAAAAAAAAAAAGTTTAAGGAACTTAAGATTTAAGTAATCGAGCACCGTCGAGTCCCTGGCCAAAAATCGCGGTAGGATGGCATAAATCGGTAAACACAGAATAGATAACATCAAAGACGTCCGTTCGACTTTCATTGTGGAACTATTTTTTTAACCATGACGGGATGTGTGGGCGGGATGTCTTTTTAACGGTAATTAAACGTCCGAATGTTTGCTGGGTAAAAGCTAAATAGAACTATACAAATATATGTATAAAACACATAAAATAACGAATACTTAAAATTGAAATGACAACTGACCATTTAAATATTTAAAGCCAACAAAATATGAAATACTAGTAAAACAGTATGCATTCCAAAGCAAGCAAGACTTTTAGAGCACAGCCCCCCTCACCTGAGCCAGTTTGGCAGTTAGGGCGATTTTCAGCCCTTGCACCCGCACCTTCATGGGCAACATGTAATAATAGCTGGTTGGTCCTCGTGGACCATGAGCTACTCCTCCTGAATGTGCAAGAGGAGCATTTGTTTAGTGATTCAGAGGGTTTACTGCTATATATTGTCATCTATGCGTTTAAAACTGAACTCAAAATTATAGCTCACCTCCCCTCCATAGTGGAGAACGAATGCTTCCTTGTCGTGCCCGCCCACTTCCTTTTTGTTTCCAAGGTTTCCTCCCTCCACCGCTGACTTCAGCTCTTGACTTGACTTTTGCATGGCTCTACAGTAATCACATTACATATGTTTATTTCATTCGCAATGATTCAATATGACAGAGGTTCATAGAACATGATTTGGACGGTATCTTAATGCACAAGTCCAAACCGGAAAGCATAAAATGCTCCTCAGGGTTACTTACTATTCGTTTGAAATTACGTTGCCAGACCTCTACAGCATGGAGAATGTCCAACCTATTAATAAGAACAGAAAAAAAAGACCATTTGTTTGCAGCATAACTCCTGAAATGATTCAGAGGATTAAATGGTTTACCTAACAGGCACTGAGAAGACATCAGGGTGTAGGTCAACCACGCCAAGCGGTTCACTGTCAAGACTGGCCAAAGACTCGAGCCACGTTTGAGTGGGTGCCAGGTGAGCTGGGATATCAGCGTCACATCTCCGCAGAACTGGAAGATCAGAGCCGGATGGAGGAGCCCTCTCTGAAACAACATTTCAGACACGCTCGGTTCGATGAAAACACACGCCTCATGCATTTTAAAATGGCATTGTTGCACTTTCATTGACAACGTACAAAAATTTTGCATGGAAGCCGAAGTTCCTTCCAATCATTTAATTACTTCAGTTGTTATTACTGTGTGAAACTATATTAAATTAATATAGGTTGCCCTTGCACTCCATCTGTCATTTGGTTGAATAGCTTTAGATAATAACAGCTAATAGAAAGTTCTCAGATTCATTGTGGCAGCTGTTCTGTAACTATGGTATATTTGTAAAAACTATTTTTACCGTGGTGTACTTTTAACTCAAGGATGTAAGTAAGAGTGTAAAGCTGAAAACACTTCAAAGCCAGAGACTTTTTCTTCTCACAAGAAGAAGAATGCATTATAATTCTCTATTTAATAAACAAAGCTTTGCCTACTTTGTCCCGCGACTCCGATGAGATTTGATGGGAGTCGCAGATTTGATGGAAGCGCGCTTTCTCCAGAGACCGATGAGATGAACTGGTTTGAGAAAAATCATTGTTTAACTAGTCAGTGTGTGTATCAGCATGAACAGAAAAATCCTATGCACAAACGTTTAACATGATGAATTGCATGCGCACACTTACCCTTTTAACAACTGTTCTTCCACATATTGCCAACGTGGTACGAAACATGATGCGGGCTGAATAAAATAAATACTAAAAGCACTGCTGTTATAATTTCAGCTTCTTACATTATTTGGTTTTCCTGTCAGGAAGGTCGTGATGGCGTGCGCACACTTCCGTCGCCCTCATATGACGTAACCCGCGTTGTTGTCACATGTTCCTCCAGAAATCATTCTAATATGCTGATTTGATACTCAGTTATTATCAATGTTGGAAACAGTTTTGCTGCCTAATGTTTTTTTAGAACCTGTAATATTTTTTTCAGGATTCATTGACGCATAAAAACTTAAAAAAAAAAGAACAGCATATTAGAATGATTTCTGAGGGATCATGTGACACTGAAGACTGGAATAATGGCTGATGAAACTTCAGCTTTGCATCACGGAAATAAATAATATTTTAAAGTATACTAAAATAGAAAATCATTATTTTAAATTGTAATAATATTTCACAATATTACTGTTTTTTTTATCAAATAAATGCTTGGTGAGCATAAGAGACTTTTTTTAAAAACATAAAAAATCGCACCGATCCCAAACTTTTGAACGGCAGTATATATATATATATATATACATATATATATATATATATACAATGTATATAGTATTCTAATATTTATACATAGATTGAGATGAGCATAATATGTTATTGTATATACAGGTATCTTCACATTCTAAAATAATATACTTACTGTACATTGTTTCTAAAACAATAATAATGTAGTTATAATATAGTTGATGTGATTTATTCAGAGACACAGCTGTATCTAATTAAGTATTCATGGCATACCATACTATATTAACAGTGACCAAACCTAAATGACCGTTTTTATCTAGCTCACTCGTTTGGTATTTTTGAAATGGAAACCCCACCTTGTTATTTGCACAAAAAACACATATATAACACAAAAGCTGAACACAATCCTAAGTAATGTTGAACACTTCGAAATTTTCAAAAATAAGTGATTCTTTTATTTGTATCTTACAACTACAGGTGCAGAAGTTTTTTTTGCTGTTTATTAGCCAACAGACTCTTTACAATAGGCACAGCCGTACAACCTTCATCACAAGGTGATTTGTGTGATTGCATAGTGCAGTTTAAAACCTAGAATTTACATCCCAAGGTCAGTAAAAGACAAAAAAAATGCGCCACACAACAGTTTTTTTTTAACTCAATCAATAAAATGTCCGAAAAGAACCAATCAGGTCAAAAGAAAGAACCTTGTGTTTAACATATCAAGTGCAATCAGTTGTGTTGATATGCAAATTATAAATGTTAGTCAAATTAGATGACATATTAAGAAACCTATAGCAGAAATGAACATAATCCATATAGTGGTTGAGGCGCCACGCTATATTTAATCAAAACTTCAGACAAAGCATTTCTAATCCTCTGTCAAAAAAAAAAATCTGTTTATTTGATCTAAATGGGAACAACGTTGTGGCAAATGTGATATTTTGCCAGCTGGCACATCAAAATCAGAACAAAATTTCAAGTA